GTGTATCTAATAGATTCGATGTGGTACAGGTTTATGCCAAAATCTTGTTTTTATTTCAATCAGTTATGTTTTTTTTTCATTCAATTATGTTTTTTTTCATTCTATTATGTTTTTTTTCATTCAGTTATGTTTTTTTTTCATTCAATTATGTGTTTTTTCATTCAATTATGTTTTTATATATAGCAACGTATTAAAGTCGTAATAGGCCTATACACAATAAAAGTAAAGATATAAAACATACAGATTAACACGAAATTAAAATCAATATGATAATAATATTCAGAATATCACTTGATCATATTCTAAAAACCTCTCTAGAACTTTAAAAAAGAAACATTGGCATTTAAATGGACATAATATTTAAATAGTACATAAGGATCATGAAAAGTATTTATTATCCCCCTATGGAACCCAGATACACACATATTCTTTCCTAAATGTTTAACCTGAGTGCCGATCTTGTTTCTCTCGACAGCGCATCCTCGTTCTGGCACACTTTGACATCGATGGCATATGTGCGAGTAAAATCCTACAGTCTCTCTTCCGCACCGACCACATCCTGTACACGGTGGTGCCCATCAAGACGAGAACGGACCTCATAAAGGCCTATCAACAACATGCTGAACAGGTGTGCATTTTATGGGATCGTGGAGGGAATTTCTAGCATGCATGAGTAAGGGTATGATGGTTAGAATTAGAATTATTAGAAAATAATGTAACTATAATTTTGTTTAGATTATTAAAAATACAAAAAAATTAATTGGTAAATGTTTTATTATAGGGTTATATGAACTTCTGTAATCATGGTGATAAACACAGAAGAACAATATTAATTGCTGAAAATAATTGCATATCAAAGCTTATCAAGGTCCACAGATGTATGGCTAAGTCCACAGTGTTGCTCAATCTTCCTATCAATCTTTTATCATTTAGGGAACTAGTCTGTCTTGCTAAATATGTGTGGATACATTTATTGGCCTTTGGCTTCACTGAAGTTGGTCCTATTTTGAAAGATTAACTGGACAATATGTAGTATAGGGTAGTGGCAGACTTGGGTAATAAAACCTACATGAAATGATAGAACAATACAAACCTAGACAAAGTTCTTCTATGGCAATGTGTGTGCAAATGCTTCCCAAGGGTGCTAGGCATATATATTACCATGGGGGTCCAGGGGGCAGAGTCTCCTGGCTAGGGAATATATACCACGGTGTTAGGTTGGATGTTGGGTTAGGATGTTTTGTTTAACAACCACGGGGGTATGGTTTTACCCCATAATTTCCCTGATATACTTCATGCCCTCCCCTGCTATCGGGACTATCAAATCAAGATTGTCGATGGAGATGGTGATCATATCTCCTCAACGATTCATTTGCACAAGGAACAATGCCTAGAATTGTTGAAAGCAGTAGATTTTGTGCTGGAATATATCAAAATTGTTTCGAAAGTAACCCACTACCCTCTTCTACATATTGACCAATTAACTTTTATAATTTTATAAATATAGTTTTAGTAAGATTATCAGATTTTGTTTAGAAGGAATAGGTAAGTGGTTGTGCTATATCTACAGTGGCTGTAACTAATTGTATCTAATTGATATCATGTCATGAAATAATATGACTAAGTGGTGGGTTATAGGATTGCATCATCATAGAAAAATTTGGCTGGGGGCCTATGTGGCAGGAATGTATCCACGACAGATACGGTTTCCAAGTGGTGGGCGATGGGGAAATCTGGGGACGTCTTGCCTTGAGTGCACAAAGTTCTTGGAGAGAGATTAGGCTCATTGGGTCATTGCCAAGTGCAGGGTGATAGGGAAATCTTGCCTTGAGTGTGCAAAGCTCTTGGAGGGAGATTAAGCTCATTGGGTCTTCAGGAAGGAGCAATTGCATTATTTGCACTAGTAAATGAAAGTGTGAGCCATACCTTAAAGAGCACTGGCTCTGTTGAAGATACATTCCATGCACAAGAATCCATTTCAGCCCACCTTAACCAATGGCATTGGATATATTACAGAAAATTAGATATTACAAAAATGTAGGAAAATAATACAAATGAAATAATGTTAATTTTTATCATTATTATTATTGTATAGTTGTACACCACCAGGAGAGATATGAGGTCAGCTCAAGGAAAACAGTCTGTTACTGTCTTGATACACAATAACAAATGACAAATATAGACCTTACAAAATGTCAAATCAGCATATTCAGAATAAGAGCTAATAGCAAAGCAATAAGGAGACAAGGAGTCTTGATATCTTGATACTGCTCATGAGCATTCATGTGGGTCAGGTTTATAAGACACACTCCCAGCAGAGTAACCACTCAAGTAAACCTGTTGCCTGGATTTTGGTCCATATGCTAGCCATGAGGTACCTGGATTTAATTGGTTAATATACAAATCCATGTAAAACTTAATCAGTGAACTTAGATGGATGGCATACAGTCTTAAGTTCAATACAGTAGTGTTGCATTGCCAAGTAACCATGGTTCTGCCCCCAACACTTATGGGAAACATTGTCTACATCTTGGTATGCAAAGCAAGATAGTTGAAACTCAGGAATTCTGAATTGACTTGGACAGTGAGTGGTGCTTGCTGCAGTCTTTTTCACTCATTTGTGGCTTTACTGTGTGTGTCTGCGGATTATTTCTTGTACCAATGACTTCAACTTTTTGTCCTCTACAAGAATATCATCTTCAATTTGCCCTAACTTTGTGTTCCCATACTGTAAAGATTAGCCCAATCCACCTCCACATCTGTTTCAGCACGATGGAACTTTGCATTGTTCCTGTTTAATAATTGATTGTCAGGGAAGCCTTTCAACTCTTTAACTTGACAGAATGTGGTGGTGGATGTTGACCTTTCCTGGACCACTGACAGTCGTTGCATTAATGAGTATAAAGCCACTGGTGGATATGCAGTGTTTTCTAAATGTTCATGAAAAAAAATGTGCAGTAGTTGTTACAAATCTTTTTAGATATAGACTTCACAACAATATCTGTTCTTATCCCCAGATCAAGCATATCGTCTTGCTAAATTGTGGTGGATGTGTAGACATTGTGGACATTCTCCAACCACCTGAAGATATTGTTTTCTTTGTAGCTGACAACCATAGACCCCTTGATATCTGCAACATTTACAATGCTGATCAGGTAAGCATACTGTGAGAATTTTGGAGAATTTATAAAAAGATTAGATAAAAAAGGGAACGATTATTGTGTACTGTTATTTTGTGTGAAATTCTTTGAACCTCAGTGTGGCAGTTCTAGCATAAATGTATGTATTGGTTGTAATCTAACTTATATATTGACAAAATATCCTGGAAATTTATTGCCAAATAAGGAAACAATCTACACAATATCCTGCCAAAGTGTATAACTGTATGTAAGCATCAACAAGCTCAATGCCAGTAGTGGCTGCAGTGCACTTAAAGAGATCCTTGTTTGTATTACAATTATTACATAAACCTCTATCCAGTGCATAACCCTGCAAATTGTTATGTAAAAAAAAAATAGTTTTCAAGCAAAGATCACTAGAATTGATAAAATAGAACTGACTCTTAAATACCAAAGAGAGATTACCTATCTGGGTCATTATTTGTTCATTGTCATGACTATTACATTGCAAATTAAAAATAAGATTATATGATATATAAGTGTGATACATATACTATTATTGACTTTCCATCCATTTTATTTATTTATTTATTTATTTTGGTACTGAAGTTTAGGTAATTGTCTTGTCTATGGACTTTTATCCCCATACTTCCTTTGCCTTTTTTGTGACCTTGGACTTTTGATGTCTTTATGCTTGGTCTTTCATTGTATTTAAACCCTTCTGAACTCTTTAAGCATAAAATACATACAGCATATATTACATGTATCTGAACGATTTCAGTGCTTCCTTGGGACACACACTTCCCTAGTTTTGAATATAAATTGTAATGAGACATGTCCCAGCTAGCAAGAGAGGGCTTGGAGAAAATGGCAAATCTGTTTCTGTTTTTTCAGATTTTTAACAGTTGTCTATGAGGAAATAAATCGGGAAAATGTAGTGCTTACTGTAGTATTGTTTTGTGAAATGTCTCTATACAAAGATGGCTCCACAAGTGCTTAGCCACCAAGTAGTCAACTATGCAGTCTTTTTTCATCACCAAATTTCACCATTCCTTCAGTTTTTGAGAAGAATGTTTCTTTACTAATGCTATCATTATCAATGCTGTTATTATTATTATAGCCAATAATTATTACAATGTCATTGATGTTACTACAGCAATATAAAGGGAAATCTTTCCAGATATCAAAGAAAAGGTGATATAGGTAGGTAGTACAAGTAATTAGCTCATTGGTGACTAAGTACTTGTGGAGCCATCTATGTGTATCAGGTAGAATGGTTAGCACAGAAAGACTTTCAGATTGTAACATTACAAAATATGATGAAAAATTATATAAAGTAGAATTAAGATCTACATTTTTTTTTTCCAATTCTACAACATCTGCTAGAAAACCTAAATCTTCTCTGACATGGTTACCTTCCAATAATTTTTTTTTTCTAAATTCCACTTGTATTTGGAAAGAATAATTATACTTTTCTTTTCTTCTAAATAAAGTGTAAGAACTTGGAAGATATAAATGCAAAAGTTCATTGTCAGATATTTCATTTACTAATTCTTTCATATTACATTTTTTTGGGCATAATGAAAATTTCAGTCAACTCAAGTCTAGCATCAATTATGAATATAATAACTATTGCTGATTACATAAAGTTCTAAATATGTGTGGAATATGGCCTGAGAATTATTGATATTGGCAGTTGTTTGATTTTTTTTTTTTTAGAAAATGTAGGGTATTAATATGATCATTATGTATATTGTATTGTCATAGAAAGGTAAAGACTTGAATTACAATATTTAAGAAAAACATGAAAATCATGAATATATTTTCCTTTTGTTTGACTATTATTAGATTTATTATGTTAGTTGACCCTAGTATTTTCTTAGTTTCATGGATATTTTATTGCAAGAATAACAATAAACATAGTATCTAGATATAAATGTACATACATCTGGTTTATATATATGTGTGTGTGTGTGTCTGTAGGTTTTGATACATGCATTATATATACATATTTTATGTAATACGTATGATTTGTGTTTTGAATTCTTCTGCAACAGGTCCGAATCTTGACAAAATTAGGAGATGATGAAGAGGTTCCAGCGTTTGATGATATCTTCCGAGAGGATGAGGTGAGATCTCTGACTTATTTAGTTGTAGTGTTTGCTACTTATTTGATATTTATTGGATTTATGATTTATTGATGTGAAAGGTCTGTCGAGTATCAAGGCCAAGATAATTATCATAATGCTTATACTCATATTTTATTCTTGCCGTATATATAACTTTTTATTTTTTTTCCCTTGAGGGTTAGCATTGCATGTCTCAAAGTCACATTGTGTGACCTTTTTTTAGTTTAAGTTTAAGTTCAGTGCCATATTTTCTTGCACAGGTTACATGGCAAGATGTAACTTTAAAAGTGATATACAAGATTTTTTAAAGATGGTTATTGTAGAATTGCATATTTATTGTATATGAAATAAAACAAATTATTTTAAGAGTTGTGTAGAGTCTGCCTTGAAATGTTAGGGTTCTCCATTTCTCATTTTGATATTGCAGAGTGATGAGGAAGAAGAGAGTGACGAGGAGGGTGGCAAGAGGCAGAGATTTGATGAGGCAGCTCTTGAAAGGCGAAGAGCAAGGCGTCAGTGGGAACAGCAACGGCACAAGATTTTATTTGATTATACGCAGTTCTCATACTATGGAAGCTCGGTAAGAAGTGAATGGTCATATACAATGTAAATGTATGGCAGTTTTTTTTCTTTCTCTCTCTCTTTTTTTTCTTCTTTCTCTTCTTCTTCTTCTTCTTCTTCTTCTTCTTCTTCTTCTTTGTCTTCTTCTTCTTTGTCTTCTTCTTCTTTGTCTTCTTCTTCTTCTTCTTCTTCTTCTTCTTTGTCTTCTTCTTCTTTGTCTTCTTCTTCTTCTTCTTCTTCTTCTTCTTCTTTTTCTTCTTCTTCTTCTTCTTCTTTGTCTTTGTCTTCTTCTTTGTCTTCTTCTTCGTCTCTGTCTTCTTCTTCTTCTTCTTTGTCGTCTTCTTTTTCTTCCTCTTCTTTGTCTTCTTCTTCTTCTTTCTTCTTCCTCTTCTTTGTCTTCTTCTTCTTCTTCTTTTTCTTCTTCTTCTTCTCTTCTTCTTCTTCTTCTTTGTCTTCTTCTTCTTTGTCTTCTTCTTCTTTGTCTTCTTCTTCTTCTTCTCTTCTTCTTCTTCTTTGTCTTCTTCTTCTTCTTTGTCTTCTTCTTCTTCTTCTTTGTCTTCTTCTTCTTCTTTGTCTTCTTCTTCTTCTTTGTCTTCTTCTTCTTCTTTGTCTTCTTCTTCTTCTCTTCTTCTTCTTCTTTGTCTTCTTCTTCTTCTTTGTCTTCTTCTTCTTTATCTTCTTCTTCTTCTTCTTCTTCTTCTTCTTCTTCTTCTTTGTCTTCTTCTTCTTCTTTGTCTTCTTCTTCTTTGTCTTCTTCTTCTTCTTTGTCTTCTTCTTCTTTGTCTTCTTCTTCTTTGTCTTCTTCTTCTTCTCTTCTTCTTCTTCTTCTTTCTTCTTCTTCTTCTTTGTCTTCTTCTTCTTCTTCTTCTTCTTCTTCTTCTTCTTCTTTGTCTTCTTCTTCTTCTTCTTCTTCTTCGTCTTCTTCTTCTTTGTCTTCTTCTTCTTCTTCTTCTTTGTCTTCTTCTTCTTCTTTGTCTTCTTCTTCTTCTTTCTTCTTCTTCTTCTTTGTCTTCTTCTTCTTCTTTGTCTTCTTCTTCTTCTTTGTCTTCTTCTTCTTCTTTGTCTTCTTCTTCTTCTTCTTCTTTGTCTTCTTCTTCTTCTTTGTCTTCTTCTTCTTTGTCTTCTTCTTCTTTGTCTTCTTCTTCTTCTTTGTCTTCTTCTTCTTTGTCTTCTTCTTCTTCTTTGTCTTCTTCTTCTTTGTCTTCTTCTTCTTCTTCTTCTTTGTCTTCTTCTTCTTCTTCTCTTCTTCTTCTTCTTTCTTCTTCTTCTTCTCTTCTTCTTCTTCTCTTCTTCTTCTTCTTTGTCTTCTTCTTCTTCTTCTTTCTTCTTCTTCTTCTTTGTCTTCTTCTTCTTTGTCTTCTTCTTCTTCTTTCTTCTTCTTCTTCTTTCTTCTTCTTCTTCTTTGTCTTCTTCTTCTTTGTCTTCTTCTTCTTCTTCTTTGTCTTCTTCTTCTTCTTTGTCTTCTTCTTCTTTGTCTTCTTCTTCTTCTTTGTCTTCTTCTTCTTCTCTTCTTCTTCTTCTTCTCTTCTTCTTCTTCTTTGTCTTCTTCTTCTTCTTCTTTCTTCTTCTTCTTCTTTGTCTTCTTCTTCTTTGTCTTCTTCTTCTTCTTTGTCTTCTTCTTCTTCTCTTCTTCTTCTTCTTTGTCTTCTTCTTCTTCTTCTTCTTCTTTCTTCTTCTTCTTCTTCTTGCTAAAATTGGCAAAAAAAGTCATTATGTTACCATCAAGGTAAGTTGTAGCTTATAAGATAGTTTGACTCATGCAAAGTGTGCTGAGGTCCAACTTGATGCTGTATACACCCTTATAGCAATACTTCAAAAAATTGTGTCCCAATTGGTTTGAAAGGGAATTTTTGTATCCAGTAAGTACACAGCCCCTTAACCCTTTCCCTATTATATGTAGACTTAATTCTAGCAATTATATTATCCTTAAGACTTTGACTATACACCTGAACCTAACGAGTATGAGGTTGTAGTATGCTCTAAATTTCACTCATTTTAAGTTGAGAATCCATAGTTATAACCCCATACATTCACAAGTAGAGAAAGGAGGGAAAACTTTGTCACAGGTCAGGCTCAGGAAACAAGAATAAGGAGAGTATGGAAAACTTGTCAATCAGTACAAGATACATACATTTAAGGACATGTATGCCAGATTTAGAGCAAAGAAATCCCACCAGATTTTGGCAAGCCTTCCATAGTCGTAGCTGGGGCTGCTACCAAGGTTTGGGCATAAAAGAAATGAGGATCAGCTGTGAATCAGTATGCATACTGTAATTATTATCTTTTATTGTCTAACTAGAAGTTCATTTTATTAAGTTGTAACTATTTGTATTTTGTAGGCACTTTTTTTTCTACCAAAATGTTTTCACTTTTGTATAATAATCCTTTTTTTACTTTTAGCATAAACGTTTCTTTTGTGTTGTGCAGGCATTGTTGCCTCAGAGTGCCCAGTGCTTCTCTCCTGCATAGGGATGTGATGGAGGGTTTCAAAAGGGGATGTCGTCAGGAATATATTCCCATTCTTCCTCTGCTTCCCATTCTTCTTCTTCTTCATCATCATCATCATCATCATCATCATCATCATCATCATCATCATCATCATCATCATCATCATCATCATCATTATCATCATCATTATCATTATCATTATCATTATCATTATCATTATCATCATCATCATCATCATCATCATCATCATCATCATCATCATCATCATCATCATCATCATCATCATCATCATCATCATCATCATCATCATCATCATCATCATCATCATCATCGAAATTCAAAATGAATGTTACAGTGGAGTGTTGCATTTGTGTATTCTAAGTCTTTAACTTAAAGTAGGAGTTTCTTCAGGATCTTCACATTTTTTTTGCAATATTTGGAGATGGATGTCCGTTTTAAATTATTCTTCACTGATTATAAACGTTAGTCTTTGCTTTGCAGACTGCTTCCTTGATGTTTGACATTGCCTGGAAACTTTCCAAAGATTCCAATGAATTACTATGGTAAGATCACGTAGTTTATTGGTATATACTGAATCTCTTGAAATATTTTATACTTTTTGATGTTCATTTTGCAACATTTTCCTTTACCTTTAATTTTTTTCTCTTTTTACATGGCAGGTGGGCCATTGTAGGGGAAAGTGAATTGTTAATGTCAGACAGAATTGAGCAAGATAAATACCTGTTGGTAGCGGCAGAACTCCAGAACCATGTCTCCCGTCTCAATCACAAAAGTCAAGATGAACAACCACTTGATTGTTTGAGGATCACATTTGAAAAAGAGTATCCTTTTGTTATGAAGATGTCACTGTTCATTAACTTTTTTTAGGCTTTTTTTTTAGGTTTTCTAAGTATAGTCATCCTTGTAAAATTGCGAGTCAACAGGAATTGAGTAATATTTGTAAGGCACATGGGACCCTCTATAATGTTTATAAGTAAGCAGAACATTGATAATATTAACCATTTATAAAAAAAATCTCCATACTGTTGGTAACGTTAAAGGAGGCATAGAATGAAAAGGCTTAAGAAGTTGAATATTGTAGAGTAAGTATAAAATCCTGAAAAATAAAAATCTTTAGCAGTTAAAAATCAGTTCCTGATGTAAAATGCTTATAATTGTTACTCTTTAAATATTTGGCTTGTGTAGCTGCAATTATAGATATTTAAAATTCCATTCTCTTGTCTTTTTAGGCTTGTCTGCTTATTCAATTATTATCAAGAAAATCAAGATTATATTGTGACTTATGGCATTAAGGTATTGCTTCCCAAGTCATTCAGGTATCAACTTGAAACGAGATATATTCCTTAGCGTTTTTTTTTAGATTACAGCTGGGCCTTTACCGTCACTGGAGTTTAGTGGAGAGTATGCGACACTCACTCTATACTGCCACCACATTAAAGTTGTGGACTTTGAAAGGAGAGAAGAGACTTCATGAACTTTTGGCAGAAATGGGGTAAAGATTGCACTTAGTTTTTTAGAAATCTAAGATGAATGTATACTGTTCTGGCAGTCATAATTTATTTAAATAGATATGCATATATAACTTTGGCAGCACACACATTTTAGTAATGACAGAGTACTCGAAATAGAAATATTTAATTTTTGTTTAAAATAATATAATTTGATTTTCAACAGACTTCCTTTGTCACAGTGCAAACAGAAATACTGTGGAATGGATGTTGCACTTCGCAAGGAACTCCAGTCCCTTCTAGAATCAAAAGCAGAAAAGTATGGTTTAGACAATCTTCTTTTTGCATCATTTACTTTGTCACATGGATTTCGAAGTAAATACAGTGCCTCAGATTATGTGTATGCAACATTAGCTTTATTGGAGACGTCAGATGATGAGAGAACAGCAGCTGATGCCTTTCTTGATGTTACAGATAGTCTTAGCATGTAAGTAACAAGTTGATATTCTTGGGTTGCTGATATTGATTTGGAGTGAATATTTGTATTTTTCTTATAAGATATTAACACTTACATCAAGAAGGTATGATTACGTTACTAAGGCATGATTTGTAACTTTTAGTACGAAGTTATCACTGCTGGAGAAGGGTATTGAAACCAGCAAACAGCAGCTAGAAGCAGTGTATCGGCAAATGCAAACATTCCTGGACATGAACCAAGTGATATCTGCAGGACCTTTCCTTTATGCTACTGTTATTGAGGTATTTGAAGTATAAGGCATACTGTTTTTTGTGATTTATAACCACCCAAATTGAAGGTATCACACTAGACCAAGTCTTTTGTCTAAAATACATCAACTGGCAATTCAATCATTGCCACACTCAAGAATGCATGTAAGAATTGGAAAATGTAGCTGTTTTTCAAGTGGCCATTTAGACTTTAGATATGCTGTTGTTTAATTGTTTGATAATTTTAATGTGTTACTTTACTTAGTACTTTATTAAAACATTTAATGTGACCATTGCCATTTGACAGAATTTACTGAAAATATATGCTTGGTTATCATCTCAGAATAACCTATTCTTTGAATAGGATAGCTAGTTTTCTATTATTATTTATAATATTTCTGTCATGGATGATAACAATGTCTCACAAATAGTATTGAATTCCCTAGGCCTGAAACTCCCAAATATGGAAAGCATGATTAATCAAATTTACTTTACTGACCCCCTTCTTGTGTCTTGTATTCCCTCAAATGTTCAATCATGTTAAAAATCAGTATCACCAGAAAATGTTAAACGTGGTGTATTCAGTTATTAGAGTTGTTAAATTATGTTTTGAATATGTATCTGATAGTTCCATCTGCATACTGGGGAAGACTAATAATCCTATCAGAATGACTCTGTTAGGGAAGATTGTTTGAAAAATCCTTTTGTGAAAACCATAGGGAGCCATACAGTCTAGACATATTTACAAGATGAGAACAGTAGATAGATAATGAACTAGCCCTTTTGTTGTTAGACAGCAAAATAGATGGAAGAGGGATTTAGCAGTATAAAAAAAAATGATAATAATATCTAGGATGCAGATATTAACATCTTGAAACTAATGTGAGCCTATATCACACAACATATGAAATAATTACATAAAATGTTATGTTTTCTTATTACTAGTAACCAATATTTACTGATTATTGACTTTCCATGTGTATAGGTCTTTCTTTCATTACAAGAAGCATGGATTCTATGTTTTTATCAGATGCTTTACATTTATGGGAACATTCTTCATAACCATTCAGGGGTTGCTCAAAAGTGAATCTTTCCTTTCAGAATCTAATTAAGTTATTAGAATAAAACAGAGTCATGAAATTATGATTTGTATTTGAGAAAATTAAGAGATGCTCTTTGACTTACAAAACATGTGTTGAAAACATCATAACCTTAACCCTTAACAAGACCAAAATGCCAGTGATGTATATCCATGCTATGTACAGTCAAGTCCAGGGTAAACAGGTGTTGGCTTGTTTGCCATTGTTTTAGTCACTGAGAAGATACAGTATATATATATATATATATATATATATATATATATATATATATATATATATATATATATATATATATATATCACACACACACACACACACACACACACACACACACACACACACACACACACACACACACACACACACACACACACACACACACACACACACACACACACACATACACACACATACACACACATACACACACATACACACAGACAGAGCCAAATAAATTTGTTTCCTGTGCTTGAAATTTTTCACTCAGCTGGCTGACTGTGTGTGGACAGCAAGTAAAGTACAAGAAAATCCCATTGTGGATGGGTAAAAAATGCTCAGAACACTTATGTTAGCATACAATAGCACAAAATAACCTAAGGTTTTATCATCTAGATCTTTCCTAATCCAATATTAAAAAAAAATACTGGCAACATGGTATACAGTTTATCCTTGCGATTGTATGGGAGATAGTGGAGATTTCTTATATTACTCAATATCATGAATAAGTATCATAATATGTATCATTAACCCTGAAAAGGTTAAAACAAAAAAGAAATCAGGGATTGTGCACTACTTTGCAAAGATATATCAATTTATTTTTCATTGCTAATTTCCTTGTTTGACTGATTGCTATAGTGATATTTAATAGTGTTTAACATCATATGGTTTCAAAATCCATTCTGTGGTGAAAGGCCACATATAGCATAGTTTTTGTAGGCAAAGTGGGAAAAAAAAAAAAAATGTGGGGACTCATCTTGATAATTAAAATTTTCAGGGAACTCCAGATGCCAAGTTCTTTTCCGCCCCACATTGCATCTCCCTTTTAGCACGATTTACCTTGAGGGCGCACGTAGCAGTATCTCGCAGTAAGAAGTCTCGCTCGTTGCCACTCATCATTACAACACCAGATGTGAAAACAATGGAGTCTAACATGTGTCTTGTTTGTGGAATTCCACCCGTCTCAGAGGAATCGCCAAGAAAGTAAGTTTATGCAGTGGTCCCCCACAATCCCTTGTCTGTTGTTGTCGTGGGGGAGACTGAGGCCCAGTGTTGGGATCTCCCCTACCTTGGGCCTCAGCCCTCATCTCTAATAATTTTGCATGGTCCTTTCTTCCTCCCTAATCCTTTTCTAATCTTCCATTGTCCAATTCCTGTGGTGTGAGGGAAGTGTTGAAAGGCTGACTTTGTGCCGGTCATTAATAATCTCAGGGAGCCTGGTTGATTGTCTAGCCCTTCCCTCTCATGGGGACCCTAAGGTGTGGCCTTTTATCTTCCCCACATATTTCAGGCTTACCATGGCTATTAATTATGGGTATTTGAGGATTGCCCCATTATCAGCTAGCCTTCCTGAATCAAACTCCTCTGGTTTACTGAGCCCTGACTCTCCTTTAATCATGTCTCTGACAACTGCTACTACACCTCCCTTCTCGACGTGTGTTGTCAACTTGACCCCCCCCCCCAAAAAAAAACCCTTGAGGACATTTGAAATTTCCTAAGCTTGACCCAAGAGTAAGCTCCTCTCTCATTCATTCTCCAATTTCTCTGCCCCCATTCCATTCTCAGCACATTCCCCCTACTCCCTTCCCTCCCTTCCCCTTATAATAGTGACTTCTGGCAACTGTCCAGCCATTTGGCCAGGAGTCCGCTACATGTAGCGGAACTTCCTGCTTGATTTGCCCTAGCATGTCATGACACCTATAGTTGTACTTGTCATGATGAGTAATTTTTTTCATGAGTCATTTTTTTCATGATGGTTGTAAGCTCTAGCATGTCATGACACCTATAGTTGTACTTTTTTGTGATGGTTGTAAGTTAAAACAGCTGCAAAAGTATGTCTCCACAATTACCTACTCAACACCTATTTCTACAGTATGGCATAGAATCCATAAACTGTCAGGGAAACATCCCCCTCTTCCAGCCTCAGTTCTCCATATCCATAACATTAATTTCTGGACCTTTACAAGTTGCTACTGCATACTTAAGCCAGGTCAGTAGTGGCTGTCACCTTTCTCCCTACTTCTATTCCATTTACCCAATGTCAACGGGTGATTTCCCGATGCATAAGCCCTCTCTCCCGGGTTGTATTCATCTTGGTCCAGGCAAAGGCTGCTAAGGGCCTGGGCCACCGTGTTTGTACACTACCTGGCGGCTAAGGGTTAAAACACCCAAGAAATGCACTCCCTTCTCTTCCTTATTCTCTACAGAACCCCAATGCTCCTTTTTCCTCTACTGGACTCCTTTTTAAATTACAGTCATGCAGCAACACACATGAAGGCCCTGATGGAAGACATTACTATATGCTACATCTTCCACCTACCTCCTTATCCTTCCTACTGATAATCTTCTACAATATTTGGACAACTTGAAACTTTCCTTCTCACTGGCCTGAAGCACATATCCTACCTTTTCTTAAACCTAATAAATCTGGCATCCTCCCTCATGACCATTGTTTGTGCAAATTGCTAGAAAGAATGGACACTTTATGCCTGATGTGGTACCTTGAATCCAACTGCCCTTTTATCTCCTTACTGTCGGGTGAAGAAAATCCGAATCACCAGCTCATAGTGTTTTGGCGTGTTGCTGTGGGATACAGCTGCACTCCACAGATCGAGCAATTTGTTATGACACCTCAGCATGTGACACATTTGGAAGGGGTTAACTTCTCAATTTGGATTCCATCATGCTCAAAGCACAGCTGACCCACTTGCACATTTAGAAAATTACATAACATCTGTCTTTGCCTGCCCTAGCTCTGTATTAGCCATTTTTTGAGACCTGGAAAAGGCATATAATCCTACATGGTGATACTACATTCTTAACCCATTCGCCCCTGATTTATGTTCTGTCCCCTGTAGTTTTTGGTGAATTTTGTTACATACAGATGGCTCCACATGTACTCAGCCGGCAAGGAGTCTTTCAGTAGGCCCTAGTTACTGACCCTGATTTTCTCATTCATTGAATTGGCGGGAAAATTAATAGCATTGCTATCAATACTGTTATTATTGTTATTGATGTTATGATTATTAAATTGTCATTAGAATATTTCAGACAATGAAATGATACAAAAACCCTTTCCTTAAGTGAAGGAAAAGGGTAAACAGGTGAAATAGGTAGTTCTTGATAACTGGCTATTTGGTGATTAACCCATTGCCGCTGTGGAAAATGAACAAAAAATGGGGGAAATGTAGTACTCATTTTTTATATTTTTGTGAAATATCTCTGTCCATAGATGGCTCTGCTAGTCCTGATTTCACTTTCCCTTGAATTGGCGGGAAAAAACGTATTTTTACTAGTGCTATAAATATAGATGGTGTCATTTTTAACAGCAAATTAGGATAACGTTAAATATTTTTGTAAATCGATGAAAAGGGTGAATGGGCAAGACAGGTAGTACTCGTAATTGGCTCATTGGATACTTAGTACAAGTGTAGCTATCTATTCGTAAAAACAATCAAACAAGTCGACTCACAGTGGGCATGGCATGTACGTACATGCCATCCCCGGCGGCAATGGGTTAAGAACAAGTGGAGCTATCTATGTGTAAATACAATAAATAAACGTGGGTATGGCATCTATTCTTGCCACGTGGGGCAAATGGGTTAAACAGCTATCATCTCACAGCATAAGAGGGAACATGGGTGCATTCATTAAATCATTTCTTTTCAACCATATCAGGCCCTTCTATACCAACCTTGTCAAATAATCCAATCTGCAATATCGTTAACCCAATGGCGCCGGGTGTACAAAACAAAAAAAAAACTACGCTTAAACAAACAAAGGCGGTGCGCCGACTTTGAGCTCGTGAGTAGGAGACATAAGCCCGAATCACTGGCTCGCCGCCGGCTCGTTTGGCAGCATGCCAGCTTTCGAGCGCTTTGTTTACACGCCGATCGGCGTCACCCGGCACCAAGGGGTTAATCTCTTCCTGTGCCACTGACCATGGCTTTTCCAGCTACAAATCCTTCTCCATCCTTTTTTTCTTGATCACGTACATGTCCTCAATCTCCGGCTATGTATATGATTCTCCCCTCCACTTCTGCTCCTCAGGGAAATTCCTCAGTTATTTAGACTCCAAACCTCCCTGGCAAGACCACATCCTCTACATCAAAGAGGAAACCCTCCGCTACCTCCAACTCCTACAGACATATATCCTGGGGGTCGGACTGCAAAACTCTCCTCCCCTGCTGATCCTCTCCACTCTTGACTATGGCTGTTATATCTATTCCTCTTCCTCTTTTCATACTCCCCTTGATGCTATCTACCACTATGTAGCTTTAGGCACCTTCTGTTCCTTGCCAGTTGAGAGCCTATAAGTTGAAGCAGGCCTACCTACTCTCCAGAGTTATGAACATTTCCATCAATTTACCTTCTCTAAACTAACTGTCACTCAGTCCCTTCTTCCTACCTTTATCTCTTCTCCACACCTACCTATTCCTCTCTTTGTCTCGATGGATGCACGTCTCTCCCATTCACCCTTTTCTCACCTCTGATCCCTACTTTTTTCTACCCATAAATATCCACCTTGGCTTATACCTTCCTCCCATATCAGCTCCCTTATTTTCCCTGATACACTAAAATCAGACACTTGTATGAGTTTAACTATTTGCAAGGTTTGATGACCAGTGGGTGATATATCTTTTTGTATTTGGCCCCATAATCAATTTGTTTCTTTTTCCTAACATTGATGGCATTTTTATTAATTGTCATTCAGTGAAATGTTGATTAAGATTTTTTGCAGTAGTACTCTGTAATTCTTTCATGTGTTTTTATCATTTTACTACTTCCTTTGTCTTGCTCTAATGCCAGGAAAATCTAGGTTTCACTGTAGTATTGTTTTGTGAAAGGTCACTACACATAAACAAGTGCTTGGTTAATTAGTTGATCTCACCTTTCCTGGATTTTTCTACTCATGTTGTTAATATTGATGCTATTATTATTATTATTATTATTATTATTATTATTATTTTTTTTTTTTTAATTTTCTATTTATTTTGTTTTTATTTTTGTTTTTGTTTTTATTTTTATTTTTATTTTTATGTTTGTTTGTTTGTTTATTTTTATTTTTATTTTTATTATTATTTTTATATTTTTAGTACTTTTAGTACTTTTAATACTTTTAGTACTCGTAACTGGCTCATTGGGGAGTTAGTACAAGTGTTGCGATCTATATGTAAAAATTAATAAACTAACCTTCACGGTGAGCATGGTTTGTATGAACATGCTGTCCCTGGTGGCATCAGGTTAAGTTAAGTTAGTATAAAAGTCCTTCATTTCTGATTGTGAAATACAGTTATAAGGTCTATGACTATTGGTTTTTACGATTCACCTTTTTTTTTTCAGCTTCTTTGGAAAAGCCTTTGAACAAGCTGCAGACAAAACCGGTTCCAAAGCAGAATTAGAATTTTTTGACACAAATAGTAAGTAGAGTACCTTATCATCTTGATTTCAACTTCAAACTGTGAGAATGGATATAGTTTACATATATTAGACAAGTTCTCCCTAACAGGTGACTTTGTCTTCACACTGTTTTTATTGCTAATCTAATCTCCGGTGCCCCTTTTCTCAACAGTTATACGACTGAGTGTGGATGATCGTAGTAAGTTCTTTGATGCACTTATCTCACTGCTCAGCTAAAGGTCTTATGATTTATGGTTAGTATTTCATTAAGGAGGAGAATGTGAAGATCTTTATTCAAAGTAGATTAGTACTTAAAATTTTGATATCATAACATCTTTGTGTGAACAGGTTTTGAAGCTTCGAGTGCTTCCTTTGTGTTTATTTGGATTTTCAGTATAGAATGAATTTATTTATGCCATGCTCTTATTGTAGAAGATATTTTTTTTTTTTTCTAATTGGTCTCAGAAGTGCAAGGCAAATAATAACTTGGTGTATATATCATGTATTTAAAATATTATGTTTTAGTTTTTCATCTATTTTTATATTTTTTTTAAGAACATTTAAATTGATAGGCAGATAGATGACTAGTGAAATAACCAAAGAATTAAGCTCTATCTTGTCACAATGAATGAGACAGGAGAAACGGTAAAAGACAATGATATTTTGTAAACTGTTTTAATCATTTGTAAATGAAATCATTTGATATCAGTAACCTATGAATGAAGATTTCCCAGAGAATTTGGTAAATACAGAGTATATATCATGACATATAGAATATATATTTACATGACCAAAATATAGAAAATGAAGAGTGCTTGTATTTCATGGGGCAAGATAATACCTTGATTATTTTTATTTTATTTAGTTACTAATTAATTTGCTTTGTATAACAAATACTGTATGAAGTAAATGGTTTGAGAAGAGGGATTTACATTTCTTCTACTTAAGAATGATTGTTTTCACTTAAAAACAAATTAACAACAAAATGTCTGTTATACATGATGGACTACCATGTAGTAGTACAGTATGTAAGGAGCCCAGTGGAGAAGCAAAATATAGTCCTTTACAAAACAAAGTCAATAAATTTCAGACTAGGTGATATATACTGCAGAACATCAGCCGCACAGTTAGACTAGAGTCTATGAGATAGAGTGAATGATTTCAACAGTGTATGGGACTGGTTTATGTTTATAATGTTTGCAATTATATATTGCATTAAACTGTGATATGCAATTGGTATATTCTGTATATTATATGCTTCATCATTAATGAATTGTCTTTCTATATTATGCAACCCCCCTTTTTTTTTTAATAACATTCTTGGAGTTCAGTTTTTGTATTTTAAAATGTTACTTTCTGCTTTAATGAGATTAACCAGCAATTCTTATGATATAGATAAAAGGGTGTAAAAGGTATTATTTCTGCTTTTAACCATTTAACCATTTTAACCAGTAATATTCCACCTTCAGCTTTATTCTTTCATTCACTAGAACTTCACTTTTCATTTTTAGCAGACAAGCCTTATTATACATGAGTCATAACTGCTACTGCATTATTTTCAATATCTTTATATATTTATTGTGATATTTTCACATGTATAAATTGGGTATCTTATAATATTTACTATACATATACAGAGTAATTTGCTTTATAAACTTAAAGAAAAATAATAAATCTAAACCTTGGTAACTTGACCCATTATGTGCCTGATTAGTTTTCATGAAGGATGTGTTATGTACATACATTATTTTAATAAATTTATACGGACTTCGTAATTACACTAATCCATAACCTTCCCAAGTTCTCATCCACTTTCCTGTAGCATAGTTAGTGCAATCTTAAAAGGATAGTAAATGGTTCCTTTTACCTATTTTCTTGTCAAGTGAGCAAAGAATTCTTTGTGTTCGTTGGTTATTTATAGACACATTGAAATTAAACCTCAATAATACAAACAGACTGTGTCCAAAGGGATAAATTATTCTTTGGTTATTTTCCTCTTGGGATGCATGTGTCTAGGGTTACTGTAATGGCAAAGGTAAACACTGCCTTATCTCTTGCAAAAGCTCTCCTATAGTGCAGGAGGAGTTGGCTGTTACATATTCAAAATATGTGATGCTTTCTAGTTGAATGCTAAATGCAATGGTTCCTGCTGCCTTTCTTATCAGTTGAGGAGGGGGTATTAACCCATTCGCCCCGGATTTATGTTCTGTCCTCTGTAGTTTTTGATGAATTTTGTTACATACAGATGGCTCCACATGTACTCAGCTGGCAAGGAGTCTATCAGTAGGCCCTAGTTACCGACCCTGATTTTCTCATTCATTGAATTGGCGGGAAAATTAATAGCATTGTTATCGATACTGTTATTATTGTTATTGATGTTATGAGTATTAAATTGTCATTAGAATATTTTAGACAATGAAATGATACAAAAAATCCTTTCCTAAAGTGAAGGAAAAGGGTAAACAGGTGAAATAGGTAGTTCTTGATAACTGGCTATTTGGTGATTAAGAATTTGTGGAGCCATCTATGTGTAAATACAATAAATAAACGTGTCTCAAAGTGGGTATGGCATCTATTCTTGCCACGTGTGGCGAATGGATTAACACTTTTACATGACCAAAACATTTATCAGATTGTACTCCTATAAACGTGAATGGGTCCAGTTCATACCATTTATAACTGGCCTCTGAACTGAAGTGCATCAAAACTGTAGGAAATACCGGGATTGTGTGCAGCCTGATCAAGTGTCATACCTCACAGTACCCTCTGCCTGCAGTGTGTTCAGAGGAGTCTGAATGAGGAGGGGCCTTCCTCTTAGGGGAAGGATTTTTCATTCTGACCTTTTTCTATTTGATCTGTCCCCAGACATGAGTACCAAGGGGAGAAAAAATTAAGTATGGTTGTTTTTTCCTTTCTAATTGTGGCTGTGCATGCATACCCCTTGGCAGTTAGTAGATTTGGTGCAAATTAGATGCTTGGCTGTACTTGGTAACTTGTGCTTCGTAAAAATTAATGAACAATTAGAATAAGTGGACAGGAGGGGATGAATAAAAGGAAAAGAAAAGGAGAAAAGATAATGAAAAATTAATTGAGGTGAGGGCTGCAGTCCAAAGCAGGGGTGATCCCCTACATTCGGCCTCAGCCCGTCTCCTAAGCCTCCATGACAACAAAGATTATGTGTTTAGGGTTCCATCACTGAGTTTAGTTTGGGAACCATTGCTTCAAACAAAATACCTGTTAAGTATAGACCCCCCCCCAAAAAAAAAAAAAAAAAAAAAAAATCATAGACAAATTAAAACTGGATTCCATCAGTCAATGAAATTGTTTAGCCAACTTGATTTTGGGTGTCTTGAAAATTGGCCCTAGTATCAATGCCACAGTATTTGGTGGCATGTCCATTGGGAGGAACTTAAGACGCTGATGAACATCCTGAATGGTGTGAAAAAAAATGAAATAGGATGACAAAAGTCATCAAATCTAACAGCTATCTATTACCCTTTATTATTATAGTGCCCCCTTCCCTCTTCTCACTAGAAAACCTTTGTTTCTCAGACCTCTCCACCCAACACCCCTCCAGAAACTTTTGAAGACATTCAAAACTTCCTTAACATGATGTAAGAGAATGCCTCTCTCTCTCATCCACCCTCCAATCTCCCTTTACATTCAAAATAACAGCTGACATCTATCCATCCTCCTCCTAATGTTCCCCCTACTTTGTTCTCCCATTCTCCCAACACTCCCCATCACTCCCCTTCTCCATCTGCACCATCCCCCTTTACCCACTTTCCTTTCCGCTCCCTCCTAGATGACCACGTGATTCCCTTTTGCCACAACAGTGATCTTCTCCGAGTCCTTCCCCTCCTGACATTTCTCCCGACACTTCACTTTCCCCCGTTCCCTTGTCTCATTCCCCTGGTTCTTCTACTTTTCCGACACTCACTTCTACCCTTTTTGCCCATTGATTGCTTCATGATAGTTTTTACACCATTCCTCATGCAGTGTTCCTCTTCCTTCCTCTGATGTATAGATACTCTCCATTTATGGCCAAATCCCCCTCGCTGTTAATCATCTATCCCCCTTTTCTGATCCCTGCCTTACTCCATTTGCTCCCCATCTTTATGCTTTTCACTACCATGCCATCCTATAGGCTCCACGACCTTTGAGATCTAACACATTTTGTCCTAATCTTTACCATTTTCACCAGAAAACTTTGCCTCAGTGCTAATTGACCTTTGATGTCTAGCACATGTTTATTTTAACCATGAACCACTCTCCATTACAGTGACAATCAGCGTTAATGGATACAATATAGATAAGAGAAGTTCAATGCAACAAGGCTGTGGCCATTTCTTCTTGAATATAAAACTTAAGCTCCACAGAATTTCAAAGACCTTTTTATAGGATTCCATATTCTCAAACACTAGTTGAAAATGACATTCTCATTCAGTGGTAGGGGATGAAACACCCTGATATACAATATATGGTAGTCTGTTTCATATGTATCCTGTACAGCAGGGGTGTCAAACTCTAAACCCTTCGCGGACCAATTTTCCCTTCTGCCATCTTGAGGGACAACAAAAGTTCACACCTGGTTTCCCAGGATTACGTTACTAAAACAGGTATTATTTATGTGCACGTAAAGTCTATTTTACTTATCAGGATTTAAATGATGATACTAATCATAACAAAATTTGACACCATGTTCCTTCGTGGCGATCATAAATTCACAGGCCAAAATTTTTTTTGTCACCCCGCAGGCCACCCATAATCATCCCAGGGGACACAGCCTGCACCCTTGGGTATTTTAAAAAAGTGTAAATGATAATCTTAAAAGACGAAGGACTGGCTTAATTAATCATGTGAAACGACTGACTGTTAGACTGAAAAAGCAAATGTACTGCAGGCTTATCTTAGTGGTATCTATGCTGTTGTATCAGATATCCCTTCTTTACCTCCGTAAAAAAAACAAAAAACAAACTATATCCTCTTATGTAATATTTCCCGAGGCGATCAGTAGGAAAGAGCGCCAGCATGCCTGGTGATAAGGGATTTATTACGAGACAGAAAGCCGCTCGTAAACCAATACAAAAGCACGGTATATTGTTTACCCTGCAGCAAAAGCTAGGAAGCGTTTTATGGTGAAACAGGACGTGGTTTCAACCTCAAGATCAGCAATCATCAAGTCACCATAGAACATCCCCCCCCCCAATCCCTTGCCCGTTGTTGTCGTGGGGGGGCTTAGGAGGCGGAGACTGGGACCCAATGATGGGGAACTCCCCAACCTTGGGACTCAGCCCTCGACTCAACTAATTATGCATGGTCTTTTTTTTTCCCTTCCCACTTTTGTTTCTGTCCCTTCACCAAACCCTTCTGCTATCCACCTCCTAAGGTGTGAGAGCCGTGCTGAAAGGATGAAAGGCTGACTTTGTGCCAGTCCTGAACGGCCTGAGGGAGCCATGGGCACGGTATTCCCCTGATTTAGTTATCTAGCCCTTACCCCTCAAGGGGACCCTGAGGGGTGGACTGTTTTTATCCCCAACATAATCCAGGCTTCCCATGGCCAGTAATGAAAATATATCTCCACTGTTAGGGGCAATGAGGCTTGCCCCTTTATCAAATAGCCCCAACGAAGTAAACCCACCTGATTCCCCGACCCCAGGCTCTCCTTTGACCACGGCTCCGAACACTGCAATAACTACCCCTTCACCAATGCCTACTAGTACAGTAGCCAATAATCAACCCTCAAGGAACATTTCCACTCTCCCAGCATACCCAACTTCAACACCTCTACCCCCACAACCTCCAACATCAACCACCCCATCCTCCCTTATTAATACCTTACAGCCTTATAGCCCACCTCTCCATAACACTACCTCCATCAACACTACTCCATCTTCGTCACGCCCTCGCCCTTCTACCACCCCTATCTCTAAAACAATCTTGAATACTCTCTTCAGTGCAGCCAAATGGGACCGATTTTTCGTGATCCCTCCCACAGCTCCCTACTCTGACAACACCCTTCTCTTCCAACAATGCCTCCAAAAACAAGTAGGTAAAGTCTCTTTCCGTAGCCGACCCGACCGCTCCCGTCTTGTAACAGTAACATCCGAAAACCAAGCCATAGCACTAACAAAACTAACTGACCAATATGGTAACCCCATCCTAGCAGAACCCCATCCAACCCTCAATACTTGCACCGGAACAGTCTCAATCTCACCAGCAAATTGCCCAATCTATGACAAAGATTGGTCAGATTGTGGAGAAGATCTACTTGCCTGTCTCACAGACTACGATGCAACATCAGTACAATGCTACTCAATCCCCCCCAGAGGTCATCGAAAGAAACCCACT